GTGGCTCATCACATAAAGGTGTATAACATCTCAAGGGTTTCACCCATCACCACGCAACTTTGTAGGCATATGACCACACATAATCTGAGGGGACCCCTCCATTATTGACCCCATCAAACAAAATGGGGGCGCTAGAGAGCTCATTTCTTATCTAGGCCTAACCGCCATATGGATTTTTACTAAACTTGGTAGATATGTAGAACAGGACGCCTCAAGGTGACTGGAGAAATTTAACTCTAATTGGCAACTGGGTGGCGCTATAACAACAGAAAAATGCTTCAAAATGGCTAAAATGTGACCGATCGCTGTGGCTCCCCCTGTGGACCAATGTTGGTGTTTTCTAATGTTTGGTATGACTAAGTCATGGTATGGTATGCTGTACATAATTACGGAAACTGTCAGTGTGTCATTCTGTCAGTCAGTCATTCTGTCTGTCCCACGTTTTTCTACTCACTGACGTGGTCAATCTATGTGAAACTGCACATAGGCATTGAGGACTGGCATAGGTAGAAGGTGACAAAGCTACCAATGGCTATGGACTAGTCTAATATAAATATAGAAACATTTCTTGTAATAGCAACAAAAACATCTTTGAGCTGAAGGTGATTTTAGCCGTTTAGATCAGCATCCTCAGACCTTAAAGACAGATCAGGAGAACCCAGTTGCCAGTTTTGTTGGATGATGTCACTTATGTCTACACCTACAATTTGTGTGTGCTACAACTCTGTCATCAAGAGGCTGTGTATTATTTTTATTATTCTAAGATTTAGATACAATACCTTCACTTAAATACGTTGTCCTTTTAACAGTGTAGAGATTAGTAACATCATCAAATTCAAAACAATTTCTCCTCATCCGTTTTTAAAAAATAGTAAATCTTTAAAATATCTGATCAACAGAAATATTTTGTCTTAAAATCAAATCTTATTATTATCTTAATATTATGAAATGCATTAATTTCTACTTTCCAGGAATTGAACTTCTAGTTAGGCCCTGCTGCACACGTGTCATTCTGTAGTAATGATTCATAAATAGTGTTTACAGTGGTGATTAATTACCATGGTTTTTGGAAGGAGGTGAAACAAATGCTTTGAGGGTATCCAATCAAACAATACTGGGGACCTTGTGACTGTAGAGAACCAAATCTGACTAAATGCATTCAGATCAAAGGTAAATGATCAACTGAAGGTAAAGGTACTGTATCAGAAGATCTGAATAATAATCAGGTCAACAGAGTCGTAGCACTCGTTAGAGATGTAGACATCATCACCTGGGTTTTCTCCTGATCGGTCTTTCATGATGGTTTCTGAAAGACAAATATAACATTGATTTGTGAGTGATATCGTGAACTTGTCAAATATTCTTTTTTATTTATTTAAACAAAACCAATTCAAATTACACAACACTATAACACATCATAGACCACTGATATAGACATAGAGTAATAAAACATAAAAGAAAGAAAATAAAAAAATAAAAAAATTCAGACATAAAAAAAACAACTCAAAAAAAAAAAGAAAAAAGAAAAGAAACAATTTAAAGGGAAATTTCGGTTTATTTCAACCCGTCTCCTATCGTCCTAAATTTGTTTCAAGTCACTAGTGACATAGAAATAATAGTTAGCATGTTAGCCGTTAGCCTAGATACAGCTGGGGCGCATAGTAGCGTCAGACCTGTTAAAACGTAAGTGAACGGGCAACCTTCAAGTGCAAAGTTAGTCCACTAAACAAGCTTTTTTCCCACAAAGACCGCCTCATATCGTTAGGATAAATGTCAGAGAACATATAGAAAACGACATGTAAACGTGTTGTCTTACCTTACCAGTGTGCTGCCATGTTTGTTGTTTACCATTTAGCTAAGGCTGCAACCGGTCCCATTCCTTGCAACAGAGGTATTCCTCTTCTGTGGGCACTGGGGTACAGAATTCACAGGTAACGTTACACCACCAATCTCCAGAGCTAAATCCTTC